TGTGGTCAGTGGCCAAACACCCAGGACAGTGAGGTTAGAACCAATGTCTCATTCAGTGAACTGGCCAATGGAGCTATTTCCCCACTCAACTGCCTGGGCTTTTGTTTGAATACCAAAAGAAAAGTTCCCTTGGCTTCTTCCAGATTTAGCCTGCTTCCTAAATGTCTTTTTTTGCTGACATGTTCATAACCCCATAATTGATGATTGGTAAATTATTGTGCTGACTTGCTTATAGCTCCATAATTGTTATTTCCTGCCTCACCTGGATGACAGTGCAGGGTTTAACTTAAACAAAACAAATTCATTAGAATTGTGGGTGCATATCTAATGATGCTTAAAAGTACTATTGAATTCTTGACCTGTTAACTTGTATTAATGTGCATGAGCACTGGGCTAGGTTTCGTGAACTTTGGAGAAGAAATAAAACATGTGGTCCTGTTGGTGGCGAGAACAGCACCCGGTTAGACCAGGGAAGTCAGACCAGACCTCGGCTCAGCAACCTCAGTATTTGAGTTCTGGCTGAGGAAGAATTCAGAGCCAAGACTCAAACTATAAGAGAAAGTTTATTTAGAAAGTCACAGAGGTAGAAGAAGTGAGCTGTAGAAGGAATGGGCTCAGGAAACAAGTTAGGGGTAAAAGAAGGGCCCTTGGAGCTTAGGCGAGAGGAAGGTCAAGTGCCTGGGAGGAGAGGAGGGGGCGGGGAGAGGCGAGGGCGGGCGTGCTCCTGGGAGGGACAGCACACTGGGTCCTCCTTTCTAAGGGTGTTTGAGGACTTTTAAGGAAGAGGATTTTAGGGCAGGTTCCAGGGGAGGATCATAATAGAATATTCATCAGCTTTCCAAGTATGTTCTTTCAGGGTTGTAGTCTCCACTGATTGGTCGGTGCTAGGACAGGGGTCATTAGTCAGTGCAGCTGGTCCTGATGTCAGCTATGACAACGCGTGTTTGGTTTTACTGCTTTTCTGGGCCTGGACCGAGACAAAACTGAGGCCTAAATGTTATCCTAGGGGTTAATACTTTAGGAATGGTCTTGCAAGGGCCCGAGTGGGAGTCTCATAAGGTCACTCTTCGGCTCCTTTGTCCTCCTCCAACGGGGTCTACCAAGTGACTACGGACATGCCAGGGGAAGAAAGGGCAGGGCAGGGTCCGAACCACATAACCAGAGATGTAAACTATCCGGGGGTCCAAACCTCATGACCAGCAATGTGCTAGGGTAGGACAGGTTACCTGGGGGTGAGCTCCTTGTTTTCCCAGTTTTGTCCGTTGCTGGGCACGCAGGGCTTTCTGTCCTGGTGACCTTCTACATCTGGCTCACTGTCCTTGTTCTGCTCCTGTCTGTCTACCTGCCTCCCACAATCCACGCTTACAGCTGCAAAAAGCACATGAGACAACTAGAGGAAATTACCTAACTATTATGTACACCTAGAAAGTGACCAGAGCACAGGACAAAGTTAATTATTCTACAACGAAGGTTATGATTGCACAGTAAATGTATTTGCAACTGTGAATCCCAAAGCAGTGTCTGGCACCCAGCCCACACCGTCCCAGTGGGAGGCGCGGCACAGATGTCATGACCCGAGCACCAGGCGACGTGCAGTGAGTGCAGGGCTATAAATAGGAAACGACAGACAGTTTACAGTATATACTAGATGTACTCAAGCAAGACGAGACTGATGAAATAAGGGAATAGAAGCATATGTAAATAGAGCACGAACATTACGTATAAACAAAAGAGCAAATACATCCTGTGGATGGAAGCTGAAGGAGAAACTTCTGCAGAAAGGCAGGAGGGTGCGGCAGAAAGAACATCAGCTTTGCTTTCAGATACACTGGGATTCAGATCCTGGCTTTTTACTAACTTCTGGAAACTGGACGTGTTATTTAACTCCTGCAAATCTCATTTCCCCACATCTACTACGAGGCAACTAGCTTGTGCAACTGCATGTTGGAACACAGTCAATAGCCCGCCGCGTAACTGTTTCATCTGTCTTCCTCAACGGATTGTGAGCTGCTCACAACAGGAATTGTATCTTAATGGTCTTGGTATTTTGAATTCCTGTCTGACTCATGGTGGATTCTTAGTAAATGCTGAAATCATAAGAATCATGGAAACTGTACATTTAGATAATAATGATGGCTTAATATTAAGGGAGTACTTACTTTGTGCTAGGAGCTAGGAGCATTTTATGGAGCATCTAATTTAATTCTCATAACAATCTCTGATTGTAGGTATTAACATCCCGTACCAGTGGGGAGGACTCAGAAACCTCCCACGTTTCCAGGGCTAGTAAACTGTGGAGCCCAGACTTGAGCCAGGCCGGACTCCAGCAAAGTGGAGAACTGCTCTTGCTCCAGTATTGGCCAAGGAAAATTCCCTGGACCAATAGGAGTTTCAGAAGCTGTGTGAGTACCAAAAAGGGAGAGAATTCGTAATCAAAGTGAGAGCATTCTGGCACCAGTGTCAACTTCAGAGCAGGCTCTACTATGACAGAGGTGAGATGGGTTTGAAGGACGACATCTGAGGTGCGCGATGGGTTATGGGGCCCCTGCTGTGGGCAGGTGAGCACTGAGGATGAAGCGGGGGCACTATTAGGAGTTCCTGGTAGTTGGAACAGGCAGTGCTGGGCCCAGAAACCTAGAGATGGATGGCCCAGCAGTTGAGGCTACGGATGGTATGGAGTTGAGTCAGAAAGTGCTTTTGGGAGGGAGCTCAGTGCTGCAATTCCAAGAGGAAGCTGAAGGAAAAGCCACTGGACTTGGCAACAGATTGCAGGCACTCTTAACAAGAGAAGAAAATGTGGCAATACAGAGGCCACTTAACTATATGGTCTGGCACCAATTCAAGGCAGTAAGGCGGAGACTTTATTCAGTGCAAACAGCTCAACTGTGACACAGTACAGCTGTGGAAGAGTGCAACAGCCTCACAGCTCAATTGTGGAACAGCATGGCGAGCCTCTGCTCCACCCTAGTCTGGCCAGCTGTTACCCTGTTTCAGCTCCAGTTGGAAAAGCAAGCTTCAGGGGAAAGGGAAAGGGTCCTCTGTGGGTCACAGGAGAGTTGACTTATAGAGAGAAGTCTCAGCCCCTGGTCTCTGATAGGTCCATTCAGATGCAAATGAGGACTTTAAATACTCACAGTTTGATTGGTCCAAAAAGCACTGTACTGATTGGTTGGAATGGAACTGCTGTGATAGGTCAGTGAAAATACTAAGGATATAGTTGTGCAGTTCCAATTGGATGGGGAAAGTCTCAGTCTTATTGGTTGAAATATGATTCCAGGAACTCCTCTATAAGGGTTGGCTCAGCAGGCAGTTCAGTGCCTAGGGCAGGCAGTTGAGTACTGGCTTCTCCCTGAAGCTGGCTTGCATGAGAGCCCCCTATTTAGCAATGGCTGCTAGGCTCTCTTTGTAAATTTGAGCCCAGTTAGCCACCAGCAGCCTTTTCCAACAGGTACATTCATTCTTGGGATCAAAATCTGATGACTAATGAATTTAAAAGATGTCATGAATAGATCAACGATTTTATGTTCAAAGGGTGTACTTTATTTGCTTGTTCTTCATGTTTTCTACTGGTTCAGGACCAGGCTCCCTAAATATTATTTGAAATGTGCTATTTAGTACGAGAATTATTCCAAAGTGGGTTCCAGGTCCTCAATTTTAGCTAATACATCCAGATCCCACTGTCCCAGGTCCTCTTCCCTGACTTCAAATGGCAGCCCTGGTTCTAACTTTAATGTTTTTTTTTTTGTACGTGCCCCTAGCAGGAACCTAACCCGGGCCTCTCTGGTCCGCAGGCAGACGCTCCAACCGCTGAGCCAAACGGGCCAGGGTTTTTTTTTTACTTTTTTTTTTTCTGGTTCTAACTTTAACCTTGTTCCCAATTCTAGCATTTCTCCCAGCCATCCAAAATGAAATTTATAATCACGTCTTATTACTTTCATTGTAACGCTCTTTATTCATTTTTTCTCAATTTCTACCTTTTCCTTTCTCAACCTTTTTCCCCCTTTCAGTGTACTCTAATGTCTCCACAGTGCCGAATTAATAATCAACCAGCGTTTATGGTCCCACTTATGTCGCGTATCTCCGGTTGTCAAGAATTCTCAGGGTCTCCTCTGAGTGCTGGAGCCGTTTAAATTCCTGTGTTTGGCAGGAAAGGCTTTACTTGGAACAGTCCTTTCCTAAATTCACCACTGGGGGATAGTCTTTGACTCCACCCGCAGTTCGGCCCTCCACTTTCTGGAATGTCCCTTCTCCAGCCTCCTGATTAAATCCCCCCTCCTCGTTAGACCTGGTCGGATCCCACATCCCACGCGAAGCTCTCGTTGGCCAGTTATTCCAGCCTGAATGTCCTTGAGCACTTGGGGACCCCACCCCACCTAACACTGAATTGTTACACACTAGTGGCTCTGTCTAGGAGGGTGCGACCCCGTTTCTGGCGGAACTCCCACATTAAGGAGCCCGGGATCCCTCCTCAATAAAGCTGAAAAAATGGAGGGATATAAAAGGACCGTGCTCCTGGCCTGGGCCCTTCCTGCCGGTCCCCAGCACCCACCCCTCTTCCCACCGGGGTCGGACGTGTGTGCCTGACCCCCTGACGCTTCAGGCAGCCACAGGGTGGGCACACATTCCACCATGCAGGACACTTCCCCGTCCAGGGCGCTTCCCCACCGCCTCGTTCCTGCAACTCTGCCCTGACCTCGGACACCGTGTAGAGCCCGGAGGTGTGTTTCCACCTCCCGTCCCCAGAGCGGCCGTCCGGTGGGAGCAGGGCTGGTTTCGGGACTCGCGGCCAGCGGCGCCCACCACCCCGAGGACCAGCGCCGGGGGCGCGGTGTCGCCCTCCCTCCCGCTAGGACATTGGGCGGCTTGGGCGCGCCCGGCGCGCGGACCGGCCCTCCCCCGTTCCCTCCTCCTCCCCCATCCCCGGGGAGGGGCTGCCGAGGGGCGTCCGGTTACATCTCCTCCTTCCAGCCTCTGGCGCCGAGCCGCTCGGGTAGCGGGACCGCAGTTGGGGACCATGTGGGCCGCGATCTGCCGGAGCCGGGCTGCATGGACGCGGGCGCTGCTGCTGCCGCTGCTGCTGGCGGGGCCTGGGGGCTGCCTACGCAGCCAGGAGCTCTTCCCCTTCGGGCCGCTACACGGGGACCTGGAGCTGGAGCCCGGCGACGACCGCGTCTCCCCCGCCCTGGAGCTGAGCACCGCGCTGCGCTTCTTCGACAAATCTGACATCCACTCGGTCTACGTGAGTGCGCCCCGGGCAGAGAGGGGGCGGCCAGCGGGGGGCTGGGGGCCGATTGGCAACGGGAGGAAGAAGGCCGGGGGCCGGGGCTCTGGCGGAGCCGGACGGACGTGGGCGTCGGGGGCGGAGACCCATCCGCTGGCCGCCGAACGCGGGGCGCGCACTGGGTCTCCAAGCCCAGTGCGCTCCCGCCTCTTGGCCCCGACGTCCCCATTGCCCCGTCACTGTCGCCGAGGAGCTCGTGGGGCTGGGGAGCCCGTTTAGTCTGCGCGGCCCTGTGTGCACCCTGCTCCCTCCGGGACCCCGCGACCCAGGGACCCCGGGCGGAGTGTTCTCCCTGGCGGCTGTGCGCGACATCGCGGCCGGGAAGTTGGTCTCGCCATTGTCCCGAGCCTTTGGGGACAGGACACCAGCCCGATGGGGCCAGGCGCTTGCACGCAGGAGCTCTGGGGGGCAATGGCCAGAGCTGGGGCTCGGCAGGCTCCGGGGAAGGAAAGGACCTCCAGACCCGGCTCTCTGCCCGGGGAATGGATCGGACGGGCCCCTGCACTGGTGTCTGCGAACCACGGGTCTGTCTTGGCAATGATTCTGCTCTCTAGTTGATCTCATTTCAGGCCAGAGTTCAGAGCTGGGGAAGCATGGCCCCCCGGTGATCCAATTTCCTGTAGACGAACATTGTCACCATGGGGCCCCAAATGAGGAGCGGGGCCAGGTGACCTCTAGCTCTCTGGAACCCGCTCAGAACTGGCCGGGGGCGCTGTCTGGTCGGTCAAGGCCTTTGGTGGCGCTGCCTCCCCCAGCAGCGCACCATGTGGATTTCATATAAAGCTGTGCGCATTCCAAAAGGGGGACCACACAGCATCGGCCGGAGTCGGCCCTGCCCGGGAAAGGCTGTGCCCCGGGCCACACCCACGTGGGGCTTGTAGCTTTGCCTAAAAAGAAGGAGACCTGAAAACCTACACCAGACCCAGGACAGACCCCTAGCTGTTGACTGCGCTGACCTCCTTGGGCCATCTGGTGAAGCCTAGAAGATTTTTCTTAGAATAATGTCTTTAAATGCATAAAATAAAAAACACAGATGGCCAAGAAATCAATTATGTTGAAATACAGATAAAAATATTAGAACAAAATTTTTGTGAAGTTATATATGCGCTTTTTAACCACAGTGAATAGCGAGATGTAGCAGTGGATCAAACGTTCAGGCTTATGAGGTCTGTAAACAACATTGGAGACACCTGCAGTGACCATCAGGTGACACGAGACTCTCTGAGATTTCTGCTGGTGGCAAAGTCTTCGAGTGCTGCCGCCACTGTGCCTTGTTGCCTGTGTGCACAATGAAAGGAAATGCTAAATAGCAGTTAGGGGTTACTGAAAAAAATGAAATTCCTTTTTTTCATCCTTTAACAGACCCACTGGATTGTATTCATGAACCCCCATGGGGAGGTTACTGGGCCCCAAGTTAAGAACCCGGTGTTAAACATGGGACCCTCCTTTACTTGTGGCATCAGGCTAGCCACATTGCATTCTAAAGACCTGGAAAATCTATAGCTAAAAGACGACTTATGTTGAACAATACCTTTGAGTCTGTTTGGGTTTAAGTAACATTTTGATAAGAAAGAATCCCAGAGCTCATTAGGGATCTCATATCTGTGCTACAGGTTGGGTTCCCAGGGAGCTGACTCTGAGATGTAGCTTAGCAGGCAGCTTATTTCATTAGGGGCACTCCTCAGACCCACACCTGTGGAAGGAAGGGGACAGAAGGGGGCTGACAGAGGGGAGCTCAGCTGCATACAGTCCCAGCGAAGGACTCAGCCAGCCCCCTGGTTGCTCTGAGGCGGGATGGCCTTTCAAAGCTGTCTCATGTCTGCACGAGAGGGCTGGGTCTCTGGGCCATTCCAGTGATCAGTCCCTGGATAAGGGCTGCCCTGGAAGAAGGTGTGATCCTGGGTGACTGCTGCATTCTCGGGTATCTGGTGACCCAGCCCAACATCTGCTCCTCTCCATAGCTGTGTAGATGCTCTTGGAGCTGACAGAAGCCCTCACGTGGCCCTGACTGAGAAACTGAATTGACAGGGCGTGAGCATGAACCAGATGGTCTGTACTGCTCTGGGCACTAGACTAGGAAAAGGGAGAAACACGCACGGAGAAAGAAAACAACTATTGGATGAGTATGTTTGCAAATGCCAGGGACTTGCTAGTTGTACGTTGTTTAATCCTCAGAACAACTCCCCGTTTTTTCAGATAAAATAATAATAATTAGGAACTACCCAAGGCCATACCCCCAGTTAAATGCCCAAACTAGTGTTCCAGCCCAAGTCTGTGTCTGACTCATGAAGCTTTCAAGCATCAAACCCCAAACATGTGGAAATGGACAGAGAGATTGTTGTGGGCTAGGGCAGTCAGAGAACACTACAGAGGAGGTTACATTTAAGACTTGAAGGACAGGTTTGATTTTAGTGGGTGGAGGGAGGGTGGAGAGGTTGTTCCAGGCGGGAGGGTCGAGTGCCTGAGGATGGGACCAAGCCTGGCGTGTGCTGGGAGAGTGATCTGATGGAGCTGAGGGTTTCCGTTGGAATAGGGGGTTCTCTCCGGAGGGGATGTGGGGTGGGGAGATTGAATGTATCAGTTAGCTTTCACTTTGTAAGAAACAACCAGGGAACCTCAGTGGACTGTAACAATAAGGCTTACTGCTCCTGTGCCTCGAAGCAGCAGTGGCCTGATCTAGGGTGGCTGTGGCAGGACCCGTTGGGATGATTTCGTTCTGCTCCATGGGTCTCTCATCCTCCATAGCTGTTTTGTCTAGTATGGTGGCCATTAGCCATATGTAGTTATTTGCATTTGGATAAATGAAATAACATTTCAGCCTTTCAGTCACTCATTTCAAATGTTCGATCCCCTCCTGAGCAAGTGGTTACTATCTCGGACGGTGCTGCTATGTAACGTTTCCATCATCACGAAATTTCTACTGGGTAGAGCTGCTTCAGGGCCAGCTTGAGCTTGTCCTTCACGGGGCCTGTCTGAGGCACAGAGAGTGAGCAGAAATGCACAAGTGCTTTTTCAAGCCTCTGCTTGGGTCCTGCCTCCTAACTTCTCATGGACTACAGCAAGTCACACGCTGAGCCACCGAGGCAGTGGGTGAAGCAGGTCCCCTGCCCATGGTGGCAATGGGCTAGAGGTCAGTGGTTGGTAGGTTAAGCTGTCTGTAGCTGGTGACAAGGCATCTTTAGTAAGGTAAGTCTGGCTGTGGTTTGCAAGACAACATGGACAAACAGACAGGGAGAGTTTGGGGGCAGGAAACTCAGTTCTTTAAGTTGCTGGTTTATCCAGACATGCAGGATGAGGGCTTATAGAAAGGGGGGCAAGGAGAGAAAAGGGCAACCCTGAAGGTGATCGAAGATGCACCAAGATTTCTGACCAGTCACACGTGACAGGGTGTGAGGAGCAGGTGGAGGTGGGGGTGGAGTTGGGGCCAATAAGCGGACCAGAACGTGGAGATGCCCGGCAGCCAGTAGACCTCCACGCTCGCACTGAGGCTGGGGAGGGAAGTGGGAGCCTTGAAATGCTGGTCTGCAAGGGGACCAGGGGAATGAGAGACCAGCTAAGAGCTGGCTTTAGAGCCCTTTAGTGAATGACCTAATGTGGCAGTTCTCAAAGTGTGGTCTGGGAACTTCTGGTGTCCTGGAGACGTGTTCAAGAAATTCACAGTACAGCCCTGGCCGGTTTGGCTCAGTGGTTAGGGCGTCAGCCTGCGGTCCAGAGGGACCCGGGTTCGGTTCCTGCTAAGGGCACGTACTTCGGTTGCAATTTGTCCCCGGCCCGTGCGGGTGGCAGCCACTTGATGTGTCCCTTTCACTTCGATGTTTCTCTCTCTCTCTCTCTCTCTCTCTTTCTCCTTCCCACTCTATCTGAACAAAAAATGGAAAAATGTCCTCGGGTGAGGATAAAAAAAAAAAAAAAGAAATTCACAGGACTAAAATTCTTTTCCTAATACCACCAAAATGTGATTTGCTTTTTATACTCCCACGCTGTCATGTATGCGGTGGAGTTCACCAAAGGTACATGACCTGTGATAGCTCTCAGCAGGTCCATGTAGATGATATGAATCCGCTAGCTTCCATTAAGCCAGACATCACATTGATTTGCAGAAATGTAAAACAATGACACTTCTTTCTTTAAGTACTTTTGAAGTTTTTTGTTTTTTTGGTTTTGTTATTTATTTATTTATTATCCTCACCCGAGGATATTTTTTCTATTTATTTTCAGATAGAATGGGAGGCAGAGAAAGGGAGAGAGAGAGAAACATCAATGTGAGAGGGACACATCGACTGGTCACCTCCCACACGACCCTGACCAGGGCCAGGGACTGAACTGCCGAGGTACGTGCCCTTGACTGGAATTGAACCATTGGTCTGCAGGCTGATGCTCTACCACTGAGCCAAACTGGCCAGGGCTTGAGTTTTATTTTTGTAAAAAATAATGTTATTTATATTAGTACATAATGAGCTCATATTATTTAAATATTATTAATATTTAAATTTGATATTGATAAATATTGATAAATATTGACCTGTATAACCTATATAATAGATACAAGCGTTTGGAGGGTCTTCACTCCAAGATCAACATGTTTGACAGTTGCTGATCCCGTGGCCTCAGTGTGAGGGCTGTTCAAGGGCAGGTGAAGAGCCACCCCTGGGCCACAGCAGACCCCCCACAGAAGGTCTGACTCTCCCCACGGAATGACCTCATGTTTTTGGATGATGAAACAGTACAGTCCCAGCAGTGAAGATGGCATTCTTTGGTCCCCACAGTCTACAAACCTAGCCAACCAGTTCGCTGACTACCAGGCTCACACGAGCTCTGCTGCCTTGGCCAACGAACTGACCTGCCTGGGCCAGAGCTCTTCAAAAATATAATGAGAGCCCTGGCCGGTTTGGCTCAGTGGTTGGAGCATCAGCCTGCGGACCAGAGAGTCCCGGGTTCAGTTCCCACTAGGGGCACGT